GGTGACGTCAGGGACAGCGCGTTCGAGTTCGTTGGGGTCGATGCGAAGGGTGTGAAGTTGATGATCGGGTGTAAGACAGTGGTTGAGAGCATTGACGAGATGCGAAATGGGAAAAACGTCTTGGGCACGACTAAGGACAGCTAGGGCAACATGCGATCTCGTCGCAATCCGACCTTCAATTGTTTTGACGACGCCTCTCTATATATACATATATATATACACATATATACACCCGTCCTCTATTGCATCTGTCTATCCATCTCTAGACATATATCATTCTTCCCATCCCTCTATCGTTCCCCCTCTCGCTCTCTGTCTATGTTTCCCCCGCTCTATGTATTTTTAACAATCCATTCGTCCATCCAATGCTATGCTTCTCGCATGCCCCCCCCATCCTTCCCAGGAAATAATCGAAAAGTTTGCTGACCACGGCCCCATTATGAGCGTCGACTGGCAGTGGTCAATTGAGGAGGCGAAAATCAGAATCGCCTTGGACGACATGTACGCCCAGCATTCAGATTGCTTGAAGGGCACCACTGGCGTAACATCGCTTGTTAAGTATCGGTCTATCACTACCACGTGCGCATTCAAAGCAGGAGAGATAGTGCTTGCCCCACCCACTGCGAGCATCGTCATGCAATAATCCAACGAAAACTCACCAAACCGGAGCGTGTTTGCGAAGTCGCACGAGGACCTCAAAGGCACCATTTTCAACATCGTGTTGCTCCCCACTGGCGGCGTGAAGATGCCCAAGGTGCAGGCGATTACGAGTGTAGGGGGGCTGGCAAAGGCCCCTGGCTCCTTAGTCATTCCATGTTGGTTCGTGCAAGAGTCGGCCCCCAAACGCAATGCAAACGTGAAGGTCGTGACCATGAGGTCCGATGTGATGCCGTCTGCGTCTGCGCAGGTGCTGACCAACAAAAGCGACGTCGCGAAGGGAGACGCGCTGATCGCACCGCTGGCATCGCTTATGCCAAAGCGCAAGGCCGAGGATGCGCCTGCGCCCGCAATGAAGAAGTCTAGGAAGTGACGATGTATGCATACATCTACGCAGTACTTATAAACGCGCGTTCGATTGCAATATATGGCCATTTGCAAAACGTCGCTCCACCCTCCCATGTCGGCAAACGCAGTGCCATGAGTTATCGCTCACATATCGCATGGACGTCGGCAATCGTTGCCTTGTCCGTAGGCGTTTCCGCTCGAGTTTTGGTTTGCAATCATGCCCGCGACTGTGCAAATGCGCACTGTCATCGAGGGGGGCGCATTGGAAGACCCATGGGCCCCCAGACAGATTATCCAAGCGGCTGGGTCGCTATTCTTGGAGCTGTCGAAGAGCGATCGCAAGCTTCAGAACTTCATCGGAGCCCCGAACCCCACAAAGTCAAACGCCCCCCTAGCGCACAACGCTTTCTTTGGTGATCTGATGTAGATGAGGAACGCCGCATGTGTCGATGCGATCTGGCAACACATGAAAGAGACAGACCCGTTGCTTCAGGACGGTGCCGATAAGGCCTCGATCGTCAAGATCAATCGGGGTATACTCGATGCATCTCTGATGCCAGAGACCGTGACTGCAACGTTCCCAGCGGTGGAGTGCACGCGCAGCGGCCAGCACTTAAAGCACGATGCTATCCCGTTGGCGTTTCTGTTCGAGTCAAAGGCGTGCAATAAGGTCTCGATCGCGTGTGCACCTGCTGCTATGGAGAACGTGCGCGTTGCAGCGGTGGCTGCAGCGATCGACGCGCATAACCGAGAGAAGCGAGCCAGGTCCACGTCTGGCGTCACTGGCGTTTGCGACAAGCGTCGCAACACAGTGTTCATGACGATACGTGGCACAGACGACATGCCGCAACGGGTGCAATCTAAAGCCGATGATTGGGAACCAGCATACATTGCTCAAGCTGCACAAAGTCTTCGGGGCAACATCACACCTGCCACCGAGGGGAACGATATGGTTGACGATGATGATGGCGACGGTTCGCCTGCTGACCAACCTGGCGAAGATTCGCCTACGCGCGGCGTCGATCCAAAGAACGCGGCCGAGTGATCGCGACTAGCACGCGCTCGCTCGCTCACCGTCCGACTCCCATCTCATCCCCATCCCCCTCCCTTTTCTATATCGCTCCTCGAGCATCAGCCCGAACTATCAGATTCTGGAGTGCCAGATTCGTGCACCATCACGTCTGAGTCAGAAGCGCCAGTGACCTTGCTCGCGACAACGCTCACGATGCTGCCGTCCGCACTCTTGTCACTGCGGGCGTCGATGCCCTTGCCACAGTCGTAGGCGCCGCCCTTGCCACCGTCGTAGTCGCTGCCTCCACCGTCGTAGTAGCCCGTGTCGCTGCCCGCGGGCGTGTCACCGTCGTGGGTGCGGCAGCCCTTGCCGCCGTCGTAGTAGCCATTGACGCCGTCGTGGTAGCCCTTGCCGCCGTCGTGGTAGCCCTTGTCGCCGTCGTGGCAGCCCGTGTCGCCGTCGTATCCGCTGCCCTTGTCACCGTCATAGTTGCCGCCCTGCACACTTTTATTCTTGTGCCACTCGATGTGCTTCGTCTGCTGCTAGTACGTTCCATTGTGGGGGCAAAACATGAAGCATTCACGCCCACCCACAGCGCGGAGACATACTCTGAAATGTTGTCTCCGCGCTGTGTCGGGCACGCCTGGCAGAGGTGAGTGACTACATGCATTGTCATCCTCCTCCGTCCTCCTCCCCCCTCCTCCGCTCGCCCTCTTCCTCCCTCTTCAATCTTTTCATCTCCAGCATTCCTATACACATCCTCATTATTCCCCTCCGCATCATGAATTCCCTCACCATCATCATCCTCAATTCCTCCTCATCTTCATCCTATCCGTTACTTTTCCTCCTCCTCCTCACCTCCGTCCTGCTCAGTCCTGCCACTCCTGGTCACCCGTCGTGTTATGCCTCTTCGTCTTTTGCGTGCGTTGCTGCTTCGAGCTGCTTCTCTGGCCGCCATCGTCGCCGCCGACTCGCCGCCGCGCCGCGTCGCCATCGCCGCCCGTCGTCGCCGCCGAGTCGTAAGCCGTCGTAGCCGCACCACCGTCGACGTCATCGTCGACGCCGCGTACGCCGTCGCCCATCGTCTCATCGCCCCTTCGCCTCGTCTCATCGTCTCATCGCCCCTTCGCCGCCGTCTCATCTCATCGCCCCTTTGCCGCCGTCTCATCGTCTAATCAACGCTTCATCGTCTCATCGTCTCATCGCTCATCGCCCCTTCGCCGCCGTCGTCGCTGCCGATTCGACGCCGCGCCGCCGCCATCGTCCACGAGAGGCTGGCCGGCCGTCGTCAGCACCGGCGGTGGGGCCGTCGCCGCCAGGAGGAGGAAAAGGAGAATGAGGAGGAGGAGGAGGAGGAGAGGAGGAGGAGGAGGAGGAGATAGGGGAGGCCCAAGGGAGGAGGAGGAGGAGGAGGAGGAGGAGGAGGAGGAGGAGGAGGACGAGGAGGAGGACGGCCGCCATCATCATCGCCGCCGGCCGCCGCGTTCTCGGCGCAACGCGGCAGCGCGTGGCGCGCGGGGCAGCCCCCTGCCAGCGCGCCCACGGCGCCGCTCCTAGCGTCGGGGCAGGGCCAGGGCTGAGAGGAGGGGGATGACTCGGATGACGATGGAGACTCTGAGGAAGGAGGTGAAAGGATGAGGAGAAGGAGGAGGAGGAGGAGGAGGAGGAGGTAAGAGGAGGAGGAGGAGGAGGAGGAGGAGGTGAGGAGCGAGGGAGGAGGAGGAAAAGGAGGAGGAGGAGGAGGGGGAGGAAGAGGATGAGGATGTGAGAGGAGGAGGGAGGGAGGTGAAGGGCGAGGGGGAGGAGGAGGAGGAGGAGGAGGAGGAGCTGAGGAGGAGGAGGGCCGACGACGACGCCGATGATGACAGGTAACCAGGTAACCAGGACGATCGATGGTGATGTTGACGGTGGTGGTGATGACGATGGTGGTGTACTGTGACGCGTTGTTGAGATCGATTGTGCTCGTTAATGCTGCACTGGCGGCGGCGAGCGATGGAGCGATGATGAAGATGAACGTGAGATGGGCTCGTTGCTCGCACCATCGCGACCTGACATCAGGCCGCCTCAGGCCCTTCAGGGCCCTTAAGGCCGACCTACCGCGCGCCGAGCCGCGCCCCCGGGCTCTCCCGAGGCGGCCCGAGGCGGTCTCGAGGCGACAGCGCGGCGACAGCGACAGCCCGCGCCACGCGCGGGTTACCCAAACGCGCGGCGAGCTGGCTCGGCCGTCGGGCCGTCTGCTCGGCGCAGAGATCTCGTCAGCAAATACACAACAAAAACATGCAATCCCATCGAGTCGCTGGCAAGCGAAGCTGTTGTGTTGTTGTGCGTGCGTGTGCGTCGTGCGCGCGTGCCCTGAGAAGTCGAGGCGGGACGAGGATAGATAGCGCATGGCATGTGGCCGACCCGACTCATCATGTCCGCCGAGCCGGCACGCGGACAGCGGAACGGAGGGCAGGATCTGCCGCAGGCTCGGCGACGTGCAAACAAGTTAATTACATATGATGGCATGGGCGTCGCCCAACCCACGAGCGCCAGATCGCGCGCCAATCAGAGGACACTGAATGAGAAAACGCAGAGGTGGAGGAAGACCAGGAGGGGGGGGACGAAGAGGAGGAGGAGGGCGAGGAGGAGGAAGAGGAGGAGGAGGAGGAGGAGGAGGAGGAGGAGGAGGAGGAGGAGGAGGAGGAGGAGGGATGAGGCTGAGGCGTTGGAGGTGAAATTTGATGGGAGGGGGTGGGCTCTGAGAGGAGTAAAGGGACAGAAGGGCCTTCGGACCTTCGGAGGACCTGAGTATACGCACTGCGCCACCGTCTTGGAAGGCCTCCCGCCTCGGCCGCCTCGACTCCCATTCCACCGTCTTCCTCCTCGTAGTTCTCTTCCACTCTTCTACCTCGTCCTAGTCCTCCTCGTCCTCCTCCTCCTCGTCATCCTCCGCCTATCCTATCCCCCTCCCTCCTCCAGCCGAGGGCCGATAGCCTATCGCAAGAGGTGCTTGCCCACGGCGAGACCCCTGCTCTTGGCCTTAGCCTCGGGCTTCGGCGCGGGGGGCGATCCGCCAGCCTTCTGCGCTGCGATGGCGCCCAAACGCTCCTGGATAGCTTTCGCAGAAGGCCCAGAGCACACTGCGGCAGCGCCACTGAGGTCTGCTGCTGCAGCAGACCGCTTGGCGCCAGTCTGGCGCCCCTCGGTCGCAGCAGCGAACCGCTTCAAAACAAAAGGCGCCCCGGGCGTCGCTGTCGCCCCCACCCGCGCGGCCAATGGCGCGAGGTGGGGCGCCGTCATGTCGATGCGGAGCGAGTCCGCGACGTCGCGGGCGCACGGGTACAGCGAGAGCGCGTCCAGGTACACGACCTTGTGGGTGTAGGTCAACTCCACGTTCGCCTCTGCCTCCTTGGGCGTGGTGCCGACCATCCAGGCTGGGACGGGGCATTCCGACGTGGTCTTAGAGCGCGCATCCCCGTGCAACCGCACGTCAGAGCCGAGGGCGGTGGCAAGCTTGAAACTCTTCTTGGTCGGCGGCGACTGCCAGAGCTGCACGCTTCCAGCAAACACAAAGTTCAACTTCGCCGTGATCTCGAGCGCAACTGGCTCACCACCCTTCTTGGACAAGTCAATGGCGACGGCCTCGGCGAAACAGCTCGGGTCGACCATGTCCCAAACGATCTTCTCGAGGGCGCGCTGGGCGCGCCCCAGATAGCACGCGCCCACTCTAACCTGATCAATGAAAGACAACAGCGAAGGCGAAGGTACGAGCAGGACTCCTACTCATACCTTCGCCTTCGCCTCATGCCCATCCTTGGCTTCCCCTTTTCTTCTCCCACCGCTCCTGCCGCTCCTACTCAGTAGGAGGGATGTATAATGAAGGAGCCTCCATGCCGCCCTCCTTGAGGATGGGGGCGTCGGCGAGCTCGTAGATGTCTGCGAGCGTCATGATGGGAGTGGGCAGCGCCGCAACCTGGGACTCCTGCGCTGCGGCGGCCACTACAGCGCTGGCAGACTGAGGCTCCTGAGTCTGCGAAGAAGCCTGCGTGTCCGACGACGGCGTGGCGATCGGCGTCCTCGAGGGCTTGTGGCGGGTCCTCAGGTCCGCCATGACCGCGCGTAGTTGTCGGTGGAGGCCTCTGCGAGCTTCCCGATGGCATCGACCCAGAATCTCACCCATGCGTCCTCGGAGTCCTGGCAGGCATCGATATCACAAAGAGCGACAGCTACAGTCTGGATGTTCATGCTGGCGAGGGCGGTCTTCATGCAGACGCCGCACGGCTTTGCCATGAGCGCTGGTGGCCCGCACGTCGACGCCACCACTGCGAGCACGTACTCGCCACGCATGTGGCTTGCATCGACGGCCTTCTTGAAGTTGGCGAAGACGCTGGTGATGACTGAAGGCGCTTCGCCGCTGTGTTCTGCAGCCGCAACCACTGTGTCCGCTGCGGTATTGATCCACTCGGGGTCGACGTGCTTCTTCACTGCCGCCCAGATATACGCCATGAGCTGAGGCAGCTGCAATGGCAGCCCCGTTCCGCCCTCCCTCGGACGAGGCAGCTCGGAGCACAAGTCCTGGACGATCCTCATGTACGCAACGTGCATGGGGAGCGGGACGCCAGGGGGGGTTATTGGCCAAGAACGCCTTCAGCCCGTCAACCATGGCGGGCTCATCCATGAAGATGGCAATCCTACTCGAAGACTCGTTCAATGACTCCTTCTCGTCATCATCCAAGGAGGTCCCGCTCATGATGCGCTCGATCACAGCCGCCGCTTGGTCACGGCCGCCGACGCCCGAGTTGCCAGCCGGCGGGGCGTTCAAGAGCGCATCGACAATCAGGCGCTGCAGCTGGGGTCGCACTCTGCCACAGCTCGTGTAGGTCTTGTTGTTGAGCGTCAGCGTGGCTGCAAAACAGAATTCCAATGATAACGACGCGACCTTGCGGATCAGAGCTGTCTGGCTGGTAGAGAGAAGCTTGTCGGTGACACCGAAGGCGTCGACGATGCGAATGCTGTGCTCGATCAGGCGCCACACGTCGTCAGCGAAGCAAGCGAGCTGCGGTTCCGAACCAGCTGTCAAGGTGGTCAAGGTGTCGAACTGTTCCTGTGGCACCGTCAGGTCTGGAAACGTCTTCAGGAGCTCCCCCTTCAGCTCGAACTGCGGCTTCTTCGTATACACCTTGCTCTCGGCCATCGGAGTGAGAATGTACCGCGCCGCCTCGACGTCGAACTTGTCGAAGATCCAAGGAGGAGTGCCGTCTCCAGTGTCGCCGAGAGGGACACAGAACTTCAAGGTCTCAAACGCCGTCGTCTTGAGCTGCGCCGCTGTCAAGCCCCCCTCCAAGTTGCCGCCGGCCAACAGGGTCGAGATGCCGTGCAACACCTTGACGCTGACCTCCGTGCTGAAACGCTCACTGAGGAAGTTGCATTTCGCCTGGTAGAACTGGAAGAACTCGTCCTTGAGCCCGAACTTGTTAAGATTGTGCTCGAAGATCTTGGCGGCGTCGAAGACCTGAAACGTGGTGAACTTCCCGCCGAAGTTCATGGGTATCCAGCGCCAGTACGACTGCTCGTAGGTCAGCTTCTTGGTCTCCATGAGGTTGGTATCTTTATTCTTGATCTGAACCGTCTCACCCATGCGGGAGGCCACGCCTTTCTGCTTCTTGTAGACGAGCCATTTTGCCTCGATATCAGGCGTCTCACTGATCATCTCACAGAAGGAATATCGAGCACCTTTGTGGAACTCGCTGTGGTACTGCATCAACCACAGCAAGACGACAACGGGCGTGTTGTGAACGAAGATAGTGCAGTCCGTCAAGCCAGTGCGCAGCGCAAGCTGAATGTACTCGTTCTTGTCGTGGATGGTCTCCTCCACGGCCCTGTAGAAGGCGCGCTGCTACGGGCTGATACGGTTGTGATAAGTTAAAACCACCTCACCTCAGCCTCACACCCGTGCTAAACAAAACTACCCCCTGGAGCCCCCTGGAGTCCTGGAGTCAACCCATCCTGGAGTCCTGGAGTCCTGGAGTCCACTTATCCTCCTCATCATCCCCTCCTTCCCTCCGCCTCCTCTCCTCGCCCTCCCCGTCTGGGGAGAGAAAGGCTTTTGATTAACGCCAGCCGTGGGGTCGGCCTGGCTCCTCATCGCCCTCATCCCTCTGGCGTCCTTCTTCCTCTCTCTATCTCCTGCTCATCCTCCTCCTACCTACTACCTACCCCGCCTCATATCATCTTATCCTCGGCATTTGTTCCATCCAACCTGGTGCCCCACGTGATGGCCCTGAGCGGGTAGCCGGCGGGCGTGTTCGACTTCGCCAGCCACGCGGAGCCCGAGACTCCGCGCACGACGCCCTTGGTCTTACACCCAGTGCAGTACTCTAGCTCAACCTGCATGTGGCGCCGCGTGTTCAGCTCGTGCGTGACAATGGAGCGGTCCTCGCCTGTGAACCATGGAACAGTCGTCTGCGTCGCGCAACTGTAGAGGCTCAGGCAACGCTCGAGCCGCACCGCCCCATCGTTCTCACCGACGAGGTCAACGATGCTGATCGTCGGGTCGTTGCCGTGCAGGATTGCCGCCGCCGTCGTTGCATCTGCTGGGCGCGCCGCCGCGCCGCTGCCAGCTGACCCGTCGCCGATGCCGCCGACGCTGCCAAGGCTGGGCGCGCGGGATGGCGACGCCACCGGCCTGGCGGCAGCAGCGGCGGCCTCGGAGGCCATAGCAGCGCACCGGCTCTCTCGAAAGGGCGAGGCCACACGGGGCGAGGAGGGCGCCCGGGCACGAGCCAGCAATCGAATGGGAAACCAAAATGGCTGCAGGACTCCTGCAGTCGGTCAGTCGCAGCAGGCAGGGAGCGACGCGAAGGGATATGCAGTTATGCAGGGGGGCCAGGGAGCGGGGAGATAGGAGAGGCATCGTAGGAATGAATGGAATAGTACAGGAAGGAAGAGGAAATCAAGAAGGAGGGAAAGAAGGATGGATAATGATGGACAGGAATTAAGAAAGGTGGAGGCACGAGCATAGCACTGTTAAGTTAAGTAGGAATACGGGGCCAGAGAGTTCTAGAGGTCAGAATACATTTAGGGAGCCGCGCATGGGGGAATGAGATTTGTCCTGGACGAGGTCATGCGCACGTTGTTGGGGGGTCGCCACACGTTCTTGGATCCGAACAGCTGGGCGCGAATAGAAAGGGCGGCTTCTACTACTTTGGCTACGTCTGTTACTTCTACTGCTAAGTACGTATCATATCCCTACTACTGCTACTACTACTACTACTTCTTCTACTTCTACTACTACTACAGCTACAACTAGTACAACTGAAACTGCAACATCACCAACTCCTCCTCCCCCTCCTCCTCCTCCTACTACCTTACTACTACCACTGCTCCGACAAGGAGGAGGAGGGGGAGGACACGCATCCCTCCCCTCCTCCTTCTAGGTCACTCTCCTCATTATCCTCATGGTTGTCCCTCCTCATCTCCTTCATCCTTCTTCTCCTCCTCCTCCTCCTCCTCCTCTCCTCCTCCTCCTCCTCCTTCTCCTCCCCCCCCCTCCTCCTCCTCTTGGCACTGGCGCCTCTTTAACCAAGGCCGCCTTCCGCATCGCCACGTCCGCGCCCCCTCCTCTGCCCCCCCCCCCCCCCCCTCATCCCTCCGGACTCGTCCACCTGGGCCCCTCGCGCCTCCTCTGGCAAGGCACGGCGCGCGGGCGCCGCGAGCCTTCCCGGCCGCCGGCTGGCGCCGGCGCCGCCGCCAGCAGCAGCTGCGCTGCAGCAGCAGCCCGCCCGCGGGCGCCAGCGGCGCCCGGGGCGCCCTGGCGGCGCCGCGCAGGGGGAGGGGGAGGTCAGGGCAAGGACGAGGAGGAGGAGGAGGAGGAGGAGGAGGAGAAGGAGGAGGAGGAGGAGGAAGAGAAGGAGGAGAGGGGGAGGAGGAGGAGGAGGAGGAGGAGGAGGAGGAGGAGGAGGAGGGGGGAGGAGGGGGAGGAGGAGGAGGAGGAGGAGGAGGAGGTGGAGCAAACAGCAAACAGGTTTGCCCCATGGGCCCCGGGAGTGAGGAGGAGGCGGGGGTGAGGAGGAGGAGGCGGGGGGGGGGGGTGCGGGATTCCACTGGCCTCATCAAGTCGGAATTCCAAGGATGTCTGCGCTGTTTGGGTACTTATGTGCGTTGCCAGGGCCCCACAATACACGTAGAAGGAGAGAGTTAGTAGAGAGCTGATAGGTCGAAGGTCGATTCAGTTCGATTGGCCATGGGGCAGAGGAGGAGAAGGAGGTGGAGGAGGAGGGGGAGTCGTGGGGATGGATGCTCTCTCCTCACTGGTGTTCTTATCTCCCCTCGTTGCAGCATGATGGTGGATGTTTTTGTTACCCTGCGGCTGTAGCAGCTCACCCATGCGCCTGCGGCGTGTTTTCACACGCAAGGGCCGTGAGCCAAACTGGACAAATTGCCCAACGCACATCATCCCGCCTGCCTGCCCATCCCGCATCCACTCATCCACTACTACCCAACTACTAGCTACCTAACTACCTACCCACCCGCCGCCCCATAGCGGCCACGCTTCCCCGGACGAGCCGTTCAGAGCAGAGCTAGCAGACTGCTGAGCGACAAATCATCCTCATGCGGCACATCGTCTCAAACTCGGGCGTGACAGGCATTAGCAGCGCATGCATGAGAACCCCTCCTACAACTGCAGCGTTCATCGCGTTCCCACTTTGCGCTTTCATTGTGTCGCGCATCCGGCCGTGGCGAACGAAGTTAAAGGAGCAACAGGTGCGCGGCACGCACTCGCAAGGGAAAACTGGAAAGCCTTGGCTCGCAAGCACCTCTGTGGGAGTCAGCCAACGAAAATGGCACCACGTTATCCCAGCTCGTTTCAGGATCGCGTGCAAACCGCCGTCGTCTCTGTTATGCGAGCCAAACCCGCTCAAGGGGTTCTGATTCAACTGGTATGACCCACCAGCGCCGTACTCAGCCTCGTAGCCCTCGAGCCACCTCTTCTCGGTTGCGCTGAAGGCGCGCCTGAAAGCGCCAGCCATTCCTGGCGTGAGTCGATCTGTATCTCCAGCGGCTGCACGTTCCGCCTGCACAGATGGCCGCGAAGTCGCCCAGTCCAGCTCGTCCTGGAGCTCGGCGTCGTCGGCGAACAAGAACGCGTGGAAGTCGACGCGGCACGGGCAGTGCAATCGCAGCATGAACGTGGGCAGTGGCGCGACGGGCGGCATCGTGAAACTGTTGCGCCGCATCACTGTGTATCTACGAGCCCTGTGCGCCGGCCACCCGAAGTCGAAGGCATCGCCCGCGAAGTCCGAATCGATCTCATAGAGGTCGCCTAGAAGAACACGGAGGAACGTCACATCGAATCCCCTAACATTTTCTTGAACAACAACTGCCTCCTGGAGCTTGCGCCTAAGCGCGCACCAACACAATGTGTCCACGATCGTCTTACCACGCGCTCCATCGCCGTCGCCATACTGACTCCAGTCAGGACAAGGTGTCCCAGCCACGTGCACAAACGCTGTCTTGAGGAAGCACATGCGCGTGTGCGTCAAGCACCTACCCTTGATGCGCACCGATCGCCCCGATTGGATTGCTTCCTGGAGCTGCTCAACTGCATCACCCGACCGGTCGCGAAGGGCCTCGATTGTGGGCTGAAGCTCTGGTGCCCAAAAGTTGGATATGTCGCCGAAGTGGCACGAATCACTCAGCGTCGACATGGGGTGATGCCGAAGTTCGGCGAGAGCGTGTGTATCCCACTCGATGCAATGCAATAGGCGGGGCAGTGCTACGTCGGCTCCGTGTTGAGCGCGCAACTCAGCCACTAGCATCATGATTGAGGTCTCTGGCGTGCCAACGCCACTGAAGGAAGTAGAAATCGTCGCGTATGATAAGCGGTCGATGAAGGTAGCAGCGTTGGGCAACGTGCCCAGCCAGTCGGCCGGCCACCCATGCGCCTCACAGAGGCTCTTCACCGAACGGTTGCGGCACCTGACGCCAGATCGCCCGCACGGGCGCGGCAGAGGCGGCGGAGGAGGTTCTGCCACGGCGGGCGTCCTTGACGCACTCGCCGAAGTCGACGTTGCCGCAGCACCGTCCACCACCACCTGCGATCGCGGCCCCTGCGAGCCATCGCCAGCGGGCAGAGGGGCGCTGGCGGCGCTGCACGCCGGCGCCGCAGCCGCGGCCGCGGCCAAAGTTGGCGCCACAGGCTGCGGCGGCAGCGATGGCGGCGGCGGTGGCCCCAGCTCTGCCACGGCACCAGGCGGCGGCGCGGCGGCATCCGTCTCGCCCGCGAGCTCCAGCGGCAACGCGTGCTCTGCGACCACCTCGCTCGCGACCAGTGGCGCTGGCGGCGCGGGCTGCGGCAGCATCTCCGGCGATGGGCACAGCTCCTCCACCGCGGCACCTGGCGGCAGCGCGGCCACGTCGGCGTCGCAGGCTGCGGCGGCGGCGCCGGCGATGCGCCCAGCTCATCCTCCACCACAGCATCTGGCGGCGGCGCGGCGACATCCATATCGCCCTCGAGCTCCAGCTGCTCCGCAACAATCCCGCTCGCGGCCAGTGGTACAGGCGGCGCGGGCAGCGGCGATGGCGGTGGCAGCGAGCCCCGCTCTGCCGCGGCGCATGGCACAGCTGCAGGTGCAACGCCCTCGTCGCGTGCGGTGGCGGCGGCTGACGCAGCTGCAGCGGGCGCGGCAGTTGCCGGCTCGGCGCAGCCGTCCGTCGGCATGGCTGCGTCGCATCCAGCCGAAGCGCCACCGTCAGCAACAGGGGCGCGAGCAGCACCGAGCACGTCTGTCAAAGTGCGCTGGTTGTTAAGCAACCGTGCCTGGCCAATCAGCGTGACAACGCCAGGCTGCTGTGATACATCTGATGGCA